CACATTCCGCCCTTCCTGGACCCTTGTCATTCGGAAATGCTGTAATTGATGCATTACTTTATCCTATAGAAGCAGCAAAACAAGAGCATCGTCTGCAACATACTAACTCTAAAGGATTAAAAAATAAATCTTATTGTTCGCTCTTGTTCTATTTGTGCACCTTTTACCTTACCATTTACCCCACCAGGTGTCAACATAAGAGGACTAGAAGCAAATCAGGTATGGCAAATGGATGTAATTTTTATTTCATCCTTTGGACAACAAAAATGCGTCCATCATACTATAGATACATGCACACATTTCCAATGGGCTACTGCATTACATTCTGAAAAGGCTGACGCTGTTATTACTCATTTATTATCTTGTTTTGCAGTTATGGGGGTCCCAATTGAATTGAAAACTGATAATGCACCCGCCTACCAATCTGCAAAATTAGCTCATTTTTTATCCCAATATCTTGTAATTCATACTTTTGGTATCCCTTATAATAGTCAAGGACAAGCTATTATTGAAAGGGCTAATCGTACTTTACGTGAGTATGTTGAAAAAATAAAAAAGGGGGAACAGGAGAGATTTATGAAACCAAAAGACATCTTGAATAAAACCTTACTAACTAAATTTTCTGAATATTTGGAGCAAAGAAAATCTATCAGCAGCAGAATTGCATTTTCGAAGGAAAGAAGAGGATAAGATGGCTGTGGTTACCTGTCAGGTAATGTATGTGCAAGCGATAGAATATACTTATTGGGCTTATGTTCCTAATCCTCTTGTGAGAGCTGACTCTTGGGGTGAACCTGAAGTACAGGGGTGCACCAATGAAACTGCATTCTTCCCACCACCCACGTGTGGAAGAATTAAGCATTTGCATCATCATAATAATCAATATAACATAAGTAATGTTACTGTTGCAGTGGAGGGTCTCCTCTTGTACATCGGAGGACATCCCTTTTGCCTCTGCAAGAAAGCATAATCATCACTCTTATAATACCTGGGGGGTAACATATAATTATCATCCTGCTGTCTTTACTGTGCTTGTTTCCACCAGGGGATTCAACACCTCTATGACGCCGATGAGTCCCCATTCTGATATCTTTATACCATTATGACCTTCTAGTTTTTTTATTCCTTCTCTAGAATCTTTGGAATGGGAAAACTGCCGAGGTCATCGGCCCTTTAAGGTCATGAATTATTCTGGATTTGTCATTGTAGATTGGAGCCCTGGTCATGGTCAAATTTTGGAAAAATGGTCTAACAAAACTTTTAAATGGCATCGAATTAATGGTACTTTAATGGGTAACAGTAATGAAACCGTAAAATGACTGCAATTTGCACTCGTTCCCCCTCAGTTGCAATTGTTAGGGTATCCCCACTTTCAAGGGAATATTTGGAAATTAAGGGCAGTTTCAGGGAATCTCACTATATGGTCAGGAAACTATACTTTGGATAAGACTGACAGTTCAGGTCCCTTTCATGTTAACTTGCATGTTAATAAATCCTATTCTGCTACGGCTTGTCTAAAATACCCCTTTGCGTTGATGTATGGGAATTGGACTTGGAATGCTACAGAGGGATCTATATCATGTAATCATTGTAATTTAACACAATGTGTAAATCAGTCATGGTGGAAAAGTTTTGAAACACAAATCAATAACTCTAATTTTTCATTGGTGATTGTTAAAACTCGAACCGAAGTATGATTGCCTGTAAATCTGACAAGACCTTGGTCAGACTCTTTTGTTGTATCTCATTTGGTGACTGCTATACAAACTTTGCTTCACCGGTCCTGACGCATGCTTGGAATAATCATAGCTCCGTTCTTGCAGTGGCTGCAGTTACTGCAACCGCTGCCGTGGCTGGACTTGCTTTGCATCAAGGATTCTAAACAGCAGACTTTGTACGGGAATGGCGTAAAGACTCTCATTTATTATGGCAACAACAACGAGATCTGGATGCACAACTTGCAACTGATGTACTCAATCTTCAACATACTGTTTCATGGATTGGGGATCAATTAACTGTCTTATCCACAAAAAGTGTATTGAAATGCGATTGGAACTCCTCTCAATTATGTATAACATCTGTGCCTTTTAACATGAGTGAAGGTTGGGAAAAGGTGAAACGATCATTAACAGGGCATCAAAACCTAACTAAGGAAATTATGGAGTTAGAGCAGCAAATTTTGTCTACATTTAGCAAAACACTACCTGACATTACTGGGTCCGATCTGTTAAGGGACTTACAGAAAGGGATGAATAATTTGAACCCTCTTGGACATGTGTCTGCCCTAATTGGAACTGTTCTCGTGAATACTTTATTCATAATACTTTTATGCTGTGTTACTATTTTAGTCTTCCGGTGCTGGCGAAGAAGGCAACTAAAAAAGGATAGACAACGCGTTCTCACCGCTTTACAGTTTACTACCGCTTCTCAGGAAAAAGGGGGAGATGTGGGAGCCCGACAGTGACCACAAGAAAGCGTGGTTAGGGACGCGGGGAGGTGCCTGCACACGGGGCTCCCTGCCTGGGCAAAGCATGCCTGCAAACAGGATGCTCTGCCAGGAGGCCTGCACACAATATCCAAGTTTAATGGTCCGCTCGCATACGAGGGAGCATGCCCTCCTTAGAAGTAAGGAGAAGGCTGGAATTGTGGGCAGGCCTCTTAGTAAACATGTTGTGGTCGCTTCCTCCCTTTGCTCCCCCCTGTCCTTGAAATGTGTTTGGCTACTTGCCCTTAATTGGTAAAGGAATGCATCTTGTAGGTTTCAGTTTGTATCCAGTTACCGGGTATAAAATAAACCGCAAGAGGGGCTTGCGTAGAATTGTTCCTCCGGCCGGAGTTGTGTCTGTGTCTGTCTTTTGTGTGTGTCTTGTCCTTTTGTGTCATTTCGTCCGCAACAGAGAAGACTCCTCAATTTGTAATGAGAGCAGAAGCCTCTAAGGGGACTGTTTTGTAGCAATCATCCACCTAAGGAACTGTATATTTCACTCTTTGACTGCTTGTCCACATTCCAGCATAAACTTATGGCCCCTATTAAAGAGGCACTTTTGCCTTCTGAGAAAACCAGACCTGGTGTCGCTGTCCATGGATTTGAAACAGAAAGATTCCAGGATGAAATAAAAGCTTATTTGGTATGTGCACATTCAGTACACCCTGCCTGACATTTGCCCTGATCTTCAGGTACGTATTGCCTTTCTCTGAAGCAGGCACTTAATTTCATTAATAGGGAGTTCTACAGGTTGCTTATCTCACCTACTTACCCCACCTTATCCCACTCGTGGGCGAGTCCCAAGCCAGTCACAGTAGCTAGCGACTGCGTCCTTGGTTGGTGTCGCTGTCCGTGGTGCTGACTGAAAGCTCAGGCTTCCATGTTGCACCTGTTTTTCTACTCTGTGATGCCCAGTGTTTTTGGTTTTGTTTTTAATGCTGAAAATGATGCTGCATAACGAGCAGATTTTTGAAGCATATATTATAATTCAGGAATAAACATGATATTTTGTCTCCTGCTTGAGGTGTGTTACAAGATTTAGGGCTTGGGTTTACATGTCCGCATTCACTCTGAAAAAACAGCAATTTCTTGCTGCCCCATAATCCCAGAATGAGTTTTGAAATTTAGCGAAGTTGATGGAAGAGAGCAGAGCTAAAGAGAGAGAAGCCAGGGCTGCAGCTTGTAGACTATTAACCATGAAAGGTAAGACAGTCTCTGGCTTGGAATTTTCCTCTTTCTGACTTCCTACATCCAGCCCATCAGAAAGTCCTGTGACTCCTGTCTTCTAAATATTTCTTTTGGATTAGTTTACTTCATCTGACCTCTGCAACTTCTCTGACAACAGTGATCATTTTTACTACTGGGTGCATCACCACCCTCATTCTAGCAGTTCTAATTATTATCATTAGTAATTGCTGGCAACAATCCTTTAGGATAAAATTTTCAAAGTGAATAAGTCAAAGTATAGATACATTGTTTTAGTGTAACAATTTGAATTCTTATCAACATTGTATAAGGGTGCAAGAGACACTTGCAAGGGTAGCAAAAACTAGAAGAGGCAGTACATTTACTTTAAAAATTAGTGCATTTATTGTATGTAAACTATACGTCAATAAAAAGACTAAAAGAAATACTTAAAAAAAAGAAAGAAAGAAAAGCTAACAGAGTACTTATCATGTGCCATGTCTGGGATAAGTGTATGCAGCACTTTAAAAAAAAACTTTTGAGGGCGCCTGGGTGGCTCAGTCAGTTAAGCGGCCAACTTTTGATCTCAGCTCAGGTCTTTTTTTTTTTTTTTTAATGTTTTATTTATTTCTAGGAGAGAGAGAGACAGCGTGAGCAGGGGAGGGTCAGAGAGAGAGGGAGTCACAGACTGAAACAGGCTCCAGGCTCTGAGCTGGCAGTCAGCACAGAGCCCGACGCGGGGCACGAACCCACGAACCACGAGATCATGACCTAAGCGAAAGTCGGACGCTTAACCGACTAAGCCACCCAGGCGCCCCGATCTCAGCTCAGGTCTTGATCTCAATCCCTGAGCTTGAGATCAGGAACTCACCACCCAGGTCAGGGTTTTAAGCCCAGCGTTGGACTTCGCGTTGGGCGAGAAGCCTACTTAAAACTCAATCGATCAATCGATCAATCAATCAAACTTTTGAGGTCGGTTCTATTTTACAGATGGGATGTTGAGACTCTGCTCCAGAAACCTGTCAAGTTGAAACAAGAATCTGAGAGAGGGTCAGGTAAGCTTCCTGAGACCACACAGCAAGCAAGTGGCACAGCGAGAACTAAAGCCGATTCATCTCCCGCAGCGGAGACGCTTCCTTCCCTGCACCCAGGTGGAAGGGCAAAGGGATCCTGAAAGAGCAGGAGACGAGGAAGGAGGAAGGGCAAGATTTATAAGGAAGCAGGCTGCATCTGCGAGCGGGTTGGGAAGGGGGGCTTCCGGGGTGCAGGGTCGCCGAAGCGGGTGTGACGCAATCACGCCAGCCCCTGCGTCAAAGGGCGGCTCCAGGGCTGCGCGGGCCGCGGTAGAGCTGCTCCCGGCCGCCGCACACCCTGCCCCAGCCTCCCACTGTGGGTAGCCTGGCCAGCAGCCGCTGCCGGCAGTCTTTGTCCCACGCCGGGACCGCCATCCAGAGCCACCGGTGACCCCGACAACGGCTCCAAACCGCTGGTAACCCCTGACAGTCCCCGCCCGCTCTCTGCGACGCCTTGCGACCCCGCTAGCCACGCGGGGGGCCCGGGGCGCGCCATGAAGTCGGCCTCCAGCTCCCGCGGGGGTGGGGCGGGTGGGCGTGGCGGCGGCGGCTGGGGCGGGGGGCGAGGCGGAGGAGGCCGGGCAGGAGGAGGCGGGGACGGCGGCCCCGGAGGCAGGGGCGGCTTCGGGGCCCGGCCGCGCGGCTTCGGGGGCGGGGGCCGGGGGCGGGGGCGCGGCGGCGGGGACGGCAGGGACCGCGGCGGCAGCGGGCAGCGGCGCGGCGGCGCGGCCAGGAGCAAACCCCGCCGCAGGAAGGGCGCCGGCGCCGTGACGGTGGAGCCTCACCGGCATGAGGGTGTCTTCATCTACCGCGGGGCGGAGGACGCGCTGGTCACGCTGAATATGGTGCCGGGCCACTCGGTGTACGGCGAGCGGCGCATCGCAGTGACGGAGGGAGGCGTGAAGCAGGAGTACCGCACGTGGAACCCCTTCCGCTCCAAGCTGGCCGCCGCGATCCTGGGCGGGGTCGACCAGATCCACATCAAGCCCAAGTCCAAAGTGCTGTACCTGGGCGCCGCCTCGGGGACCACGGTGTCCCACGTCTCTGACATCATCGGCCCCGACGGCCTGGTTTACGCGGTTGAGTTCTCCCACCGCGCTGGCCGCGACCTGGTTAATGTGGCCAAGCAGCGAACTAACATCATCCCCGTTCTCGAAGATGCCCGGCACCCGCTCAAGTACCGCATGCTTATAGGGATGGTGGATGTGATCTTTGCCGATGTGGCCCAGCCTGACCAGTCCCGCATAGTGGCCTTGAATGCCCACACCTTCCTGCGCAATGGGGGCCACTTCCTTATCTCCATTAAGGCTAACTGCATTGACTCCACTGCATCTGCTGAGGCGGTGTTTGCTTCAGAGGTGAGGAAGTTGCAGCAAGAGAACCTAAAGCCTCAAGAGCAATTGACCCTGGAGCCCTATGAGAGAGACCACGCTGTAGTCGTCGGGGTCTACCGGCCCCTTACCAAGAGTGGCAGCAAGTAGCACTCAGCAAGGGCTGTCCTTGAGAGCTAAGACTGTGCTGTGATCAGTATAACCATGTATGTGTTTTCTTTGTGTGTTGTTTTTTCTTTTGTCTATTAAACGGTGTAAAGAAACAGTACCCAGGTGTATCAGTAAGGTCAGACAGTTTTGCTGCAATAACGATCAATCCCCAAATCCCCCCAAAGCTAAAACAGCTGGTGATAGGAAGCCATCAAGGAACTGAATGGGAGTTGTGTTTACTCTAATGACCTAGGGCCCTGCGGGCCCCTCAGCGTTTCTTCACACATGCTTTCTCATCACAGGGGCAGGGAGTAGAGAGCTGGGGAATTACTAATGAGCCTGTAAAGTCCCCATTGGAATTGAGGGGGCACTTCGATTTACATTGGCTAAGTTACACAATCAAGCCTGACTCCAGGGAGTGGTACTGGATATTGATGAAAAATAGTATAGTGTGACACACCCTATTGTCTGACTCTAAGCCAGAGTTCCAGTACAATATATATTTAGTACTTTACTCCTCAAGTAAGCCCTTTGGATTCCCTAGTACATTAATTCATCATACCAGCTCTGAGATGGCTCTGTTAACCATTTCCTTTTACGTGGAAAACATCAGGGCTTCTGAAGGAAAACTGGTTGCACACATTTGCATAACCAGTTAGGAGATAGAATCTAAATTTGGTGATGTAAATCCACTGCTATTTCCTCTATGCCAGTGGGATTTTAATTCTCCTCTACAGGGCCCACACTGGACAGATCACAAAGCTCAACATGTGGACACGCACAGAACAGAGTTCTGTGGTTTCATTGTGTTCTTTCTTCCACTTCCCTGTGCTACCTTTAGATTTTAAAATAACAAAACAAGGCAGGGAGGTAGGATGTGGGTCTACTTCACAGAGTGTCCCTACAGCAAGACATAATATGCCCAAAGTGGTATCACCGGGTGTCTGAGAAACAACCACATAAAGGGCTTCAGAAAGTACCTGTCTCTGAAAGGCATTTCCTACAATCCTGAGTTGCTGGACTCATTAGATTCAATTCTGGTTCTCAAAACCAGCCCAAAGGGAGTGGGAGAATAAGCAATCCCAGGAGAGCTGGGAATATTCCAAAACCAGTCCTTTAAAAGGCATTTTATTTATTCATTCACTCTATACATTAAAGAAAATCCTCATTGCCAATTGCTAAGGTCATTGATATTGAGTCTGGGAATGATTACTCAGGAATGCATTATTAGGAGAACAGTTCTCCCTTCCTAAAGATATGCTGGGGCACAGATTGCAGTTAGTCTGCATTTTCTGAGAGGATATTTCCTAAACAAAATGAGATAAATCAGATATTTAAATGAGACATCCATCAGATATCCATCCCCCCTACGTCCCTTCATCCCCCAGCCCCCCACATGCACACCAAAACTATAATGCAGGCTGAGAGCTACAGTTCAGATTTGTTGGCCAGAGTGACTCAGGAGGAATAGGGTGAATGGAATAATGCCTATAAAAACCCAACTAGTCATTTCCAAAAAGAGTGTGCAATCTTCATTACAAACCTGCAAGGCAAGGATTTGTTATTCCCATTTAGTGAGAAAACTGCAGTTCAGAGAGATGACATGACTTGCTTAAGACCTTCTAGTAGGGCTCTCAGCCAGAAATCAAATTCATAGGAATCTGACTCAAAAATCTGTAGCCCTTCCATGGAGATCTATGCTGGCTCCTTTGCTTTGAAAATCCCTCTCTTCAGTCCGAGGCTTATTAATTTGATGCTGGGATGAAGCCCTGAGGCTGGGGATGGACTCCCAGGAAACCTCCAAAGTATTACAGGATCCAACCTCTGTCAAAGTGAGCTCAGCCTCAGGAAGGAGCACTTGATTCTTCTTTATGGGGTGTCTGTTCTCCAGGATGGGAGACCAAACAGGGAAAACTCAGCCTCTTTCCTTGGCAGGAGAAGCCTCACATACATACACAGGGACAATTTATAGTCCATGTATGAAGTTGCTTGAAATGAGACTATCGATGGAGAAATGGCATGAAAACAGCCTCCTAAAGAATGCATCTGAGTTGCAGATGGGCTTCTGAGCCAATGGAACAACATGGTAAGTACCAAGAGAAATATGGGAATTAGAACTAAGGGAAAATGGGAGGGAAGCTGAAACACCGTCTAGAGAATAAAGGCAGGGAAAAGTATGGGACTGTAACTCCGGTGGGGAGTGAGGCCCAAGAAATAGGCAGCAGTGACACTGGGCACCTGACATGCTCAGAGCCAAGAATGCTTGGGTTCCAAGAAGGTATTAGATTGTGGTCTCTAAGTGTCTTAGACTGCTTGGGCCATCATTGCAAAATACCACAGTCTGGATTGCTTAATTTTCTCATGGTTCTGGTGGCTGGAAGTCCAAGTTGTCAAGATGCCAGCAGAGCTGGGTTCTGGTGAAGCCTCCCTCCCTCACTTGTTGGTGGCTGCCATCTCCCTGTGTCCTTACATGGCTTTTCTCTGTGTGCATGGTGGGGAGCAGATGGGGAAAGGGGAAGAGGATCGGGGAGGGGAGGTTTCTTTGGTGTTTCTTTCTCTTTTTAAAATTTTTAAAATGTTTTATTTATTTTTGAGAGAGACAGAATGTGAATAGGGAAGAGGCAGAAAGAGAGAGAGAGAGAAAGAATCTGAAGCAGGTTCCAGGCACCCGGCTGTCAAGCCTGACATGGGGCTCAAACTGACAAACCCTGAGATTATGACCTGAGCCAAAGTCGGACTCTCAACCTACTGAGCCACTCAGGTGCCCCTCTTTCTCTTCTTATAAGGACACCAGCCCTATCAAATTAGGGCCCCACCTTTATGACCTCATTTAACCTTAATTACCTCTTAAAGACCCCATCTCCAAATACAGTCACACTGAGGGTTAGGGCTTTAACACTTGAATTTAGGGGAACACAATTCAGCCTATAACACTAGCGTGGGACAGGAACCTTCAGCTAAAATGCCTGTCATACTGGCTTGTAAGGATTGACTGAGGAAACCCATGTGCAATGTGAAATACCTGCACAGAGCTCTGCATGTTGTTCCTCCCTCCCAGCCTTCCTCTTACTGTCAATGTAAGATGACAAGGTAGCTGAAAGTTAGGAATTAGCAGAAAAGCCAGGGGGTTCACTGGAGTCAGGGGTGGTGAACTGAGCAGGGATTCAGTGGGGCCCGGTGTTCAAACTGAAAGCCGGATACAAGTTGTCGCTGAGTTTCAGAGAATCAGCTGCCTGGCAAGAGCCACAGTGGATCCTGGCCCAAGAATTTAGTGCATGGCCTCCTGCAGTCACCTCTGCAGCAGGTGCAGGGAGGTAAGAGGCTGATACTTGAAGATCAGGAGTGATGAACTCTGGGCCACAGTAAGTCAGCACAAGCTGGGGCAGAGACCACAACACAGATTCAATCTCACCTTCCCTCACCATTACCATGATGTCTGTGAGCCTCCCCCTTCCCAGATGCCTCCTGGGATAAAGAGAGGAAGAGTATGGAGGGAGAAGTCCTGTGAGAATGGACCTTTATCCAAAAGGGACTGTTTTAAACAGGAAGAAACCAACTTCCTTTAAAGTGGCAATTTTCTCCTGAGCTGCAATCCTGCTACAAAGCAAGATGCACATCTAAGCTGCAGTGAGTATGTTTGGATTCTGCTTCATTCGTATTTTTCAAGCACTTATGAGGTCTCAGGCAAAGAGCTAAGCATTATTTGATTTTTAAAAATATTTTAAGTTTCATAATGAGAACAAACATACCAGAAAAATACTGAAATGTAAATGTTCAGCTAATGAATTGGTGTAAAATGAACAGTGGTGTTGGAGCTACTTCTAACATTTGTGTGGTCTGGAGAAAGAGAACATATGAAAGCCCCTGGCCCCTGGCCTGCCCTCCATCTTTCCAGCCCTCATCTGCTCCATACCCTGAAAGGCCTCATGCACATGTTTATAGCATCCCAGCCTTCAAGTCCAAGGTCTGTCCCCATGCCCTTTAAATAGCCTCTTTAAGGCACTCCATGGGACTAGAGTTACAAACTGGAAGTGTGATCTCTCAGGAGAACTGGCCTAAAGAATACTGGAGAAGCAGGCGCAGGCTGCCTAGGCTGGGTTCTGGTGTCTGATTCATGATCTAGAAGATGGGGACATGCGCTCCTGGGGTGCATGGCACTTGCTCCCTATGGGCTCCTTGCCCTATGGGACAAGGTGCTGACAGAGGAAGGTCTGAGCAAAGTCCTGTAAAGTATGGGGCCCAGGGCCCTCATTACTTACATCTTAGACTGGCCCATTGTGTCTCTACCCACCCAAATGTCAACATTCCTTCTTAAGGAGGCAAATCTAACTCTTCCAAGTAGTTTTCTAGGCCTTTGGGCTCAGGAGAAATCCCTCTTCTGAAAGCTCTTGATTCATGTTTTGGATGACACAGCATTTAACTATGCACATATTATGTGTCAGGTGCTTCTGGACAACTTGTTTAACTTAACCACCTCCTGGGAGGCAAGTGTTATCACCCCCATATGACAGATGAGGAAACTGAGGCCCACGAAAGTGATATGAATTAACCCAATGTGGTTTGGTTAGAAAGTGGGAGGTCTGGAACATTCTAGAACAGGATTATGTTGCTTCTTTAAGTTAGTGAAATTAAAATCAGATGCTCTAGGGAAAGACTGGGCTTCAGTGTGTTTTTTTAAAATCAGTCCCCCAGGTGATTCTAATGTGCACCCAGGGCTGACACCCAGTATTTAAAATCCCATACCATTCTCATCTTTGATTGGGAAAGGCAGATTTAGGACAGTATTTTGAGTAACTGAAAGACAATAGCTGAACTTTTCTTCAGTACCTGCTGGTACTTGGGGCTTCTGTGACAGCCCAGGATATTCCCTAAGATTCAATTTCAAGCATTGAAGTCTATGCTTGAAAACAAAGTTGGAATGGTCCTGCTTGAGGGTCAGGAAGATGAGAGCTCCATGGTGGGCGTGGGCAGTCATCTCACTGTTTCCAGCACCTGGAACAAAAGGCTTTAGTAGTTTTACAGACCCTAAGGTAGGCGGTAGGGGAAGATGGGAAAGGCTACGACTGGAGAAGTTCTGACTACTGAATCAGAGAGGGGAAAAGGGTCTTCAATTTCCCC